CCGCATATACTGAACTAGGACCACCAGAAATTATAATAGCTCTGAAAAGATTAAATTAATAATAAATTATAATTATAAAATTTAATTCAAATCAATCCTATTTGTATGATATTACATATATGAAATTATGATACTTAAATAATGATATTAAACATATGTATCTTACTTATATCCTTTTTCTTGAAGAGTAAATGCAGGTGTATCAAGTGCCAGAATTTCACTATGAACATTTAATTCACGAATCTTTCGGTCTATTACTTTTCCATATTGTGCACCTGCATCTAAAATAGCTACTCTTTCATCAACAATGTCCATGGCTGCTTCATCAGCACCATTATTTCTCTCAACGCGAAACAGTAATCCATCGGCACTTTTTTCCATTTCAATGTTACGTTTGTTAATGTTAATATTGTTGCTACGTTACTAATCTGTAATAATTTGAAAAGAATAACAGCATTAAGTAAAAGAACAATTATGAATTATAATAAAACTATGATTTAACATTATATTGCAATATAAGAAAGTAATACGATAAATCTATACATCATTTAATGTTTGATTTTATATTTTCTATTCAATAATATATGATATACTTAGATATATATAATTTTTTATCGATTAATTGTATTAAATAATAGATCAATTTTCTTTACTCTATGATCGTTGCACTAATAGTCTTTACGATTATGTAACTAAACTTGCTCAATATTATTTTTACTTCATATCTTTATCAGAGACATCGATAATAAAGTCCAAGCATTAATGACGTGAAAATATGAACAACAATAAAAACAACTAAATGAGATATATATTCCAACATACATTTTAGATATACGCAAAGTAGTGTTTCATATATTTCAAGCTAAATTCTATATTTTCATTAAATGCTATTAACTGTAATCAATATTTTTGATTATAGTAAAAAGTTTATAAAACATGCACAAAGAATGAATATTAATAACCTTTTTATATAAAATATCATTTCTTAATTATTTTTCAATATGCTTACATTTGATTAACAAATAAATTTCTTTTAAATCACCTCAGAAATTAATTCTATTCTTTGAAACAAATTTTTCTGTAATGTTAATATTATTATTGTATGCATATATTTTTCTACGTACATATCTGGAGACACGGTAGTGTCTCGTATATATTTTACACAATTCACGCACGCGCGCGCGCGCTTACACACACACACACACACACACACATACACACACACACACACACACACACAACACACACA